GAAATGACATGGGGAAAGGCACAAGAGAAAAAGTAAGCATATTCTACACAGGGAAAAGTTTTCTCACAGTGGAAGATACATAGTAGGAAATGGAAAATGAGCTTGGATAAAATAGTATGGAATCAGCTTATGGAGACACTTGCACACCAAGCAAAAATGTAAGCTCAGGTCTTGGCCGGTTCACTCGTATACAGAGTATCTAGGACATAGTCACTCAATATAATTTTATGAAATGAATGAGTGAAGAGTTCTTATTAATAATAAGAATTCACCAAGATTTGAAAGAAGAGATGATACTTGATAAAAATGATGTCCAGAACTGGTTAGTATATATGCTGGATGGACCAAAGAGAAAAGACTGGCATCCGGAAATAAAACTAGAAGACGATCTCATTAATCTAGAGAGGAGTGATAATAGCTGGGGCAAGAGATATTCTGGCACCAGAGATATTCAAAACAGAATCAACGTGAACCTTGAAAACATTAATGCTGAGTGAAAGAAGCCAGTATGAGTCTTTTTATATGAAATGTCCAGAAGAGGTAAATCTATAGAGACCAAAAAAAAAAAAAAAAGATTATTGATTCCCTAGGGCTTGGGGGAGGGGGGACAGGTTACGGGGGAAAGGGGAGTAACTGCTAATAGGTACAGGATTTTTTGCAAGTGTTGATGAAATGTTCTAAAATTGACTGTGATGATGGTACACAACTCTGTGAATATACTAAAAACTATTTAACATAGGTGAATTACATGGCATGTGAATCATATGTCAAAGCTGTTATTAAAAAGGAGAAGGAATTGCTCTTCCCCGGCGCTGCCTGTGAAGGTGGCAGCCATCTGTTACTGGGCATCATGGCTGCCCTCAGACCTCTGGTGAAGCCCAAGATCGTTAAAAAGAGGACCAAGAAGTTCATCTGGCACCAGTCAGACCGCTATGTCAAAATTAAGTGCAACTGGCGGAAACCCAGAGGCATTGACAATAGGGTGCACAGAAAATTCAAGGGCCAGATCTTGATGCCCAACATTGGTTACGGGAGCAACAAGAAAACAAAGCACATGTTGCCCAGTGGCTTCCGGAAGTTCCTAGTCCACAACGTTAAGGAGCTTGAAGTGCTGCTGATGTGCAACAAATCTTACTGTGCAGAGATTGCTCACAGCGTCTCCTCCAAGAACCACAAAGGTATTGTGGAAAGAGCAGCCCAGCTGGCAATCAGAGTCACCAATCCCAACGCCAGGCTGCGCAGCAAAGAAAATGAATAGACAGCTTGTTGTGCACGTCATATTTGTGTTAATAAAACCATAAAACCTAAAAAAAAAAGGAGAAGGAATTAATAAATGTGGTGAATGACAATATATATGTGTTTGATGGAGAAAATGAACCACTCACTGTAGACTACGTAATTTCCAGTTTGATTCTCATGGAAATAGCAAAAATATCCGCTAATACCATCATTACGTAAAATTATTTTAGGATCACTGGATGATGAAATAAGACATGAAACATAAGTAAGAGATATAATATTAGAAAGGAAGGGACCAAGTTATTACTTTCAGAAAACCTGAAAGAATCACCTAAAAATGATTTGCATTCATGAAAACTCAGTAATATAGTTATATATAAGATATCCACAGATGTCAATATATTCTAAATACCAACAATAGCTAATAAGAAAAATATTATATAAAAGTTTAACCTTGAAATAACCTAAATAATAGGGTGAGTGGCTTAGATAGGGAAAAAACCCAAAACTTTATTAAGCAATAACAAATGAAGACTTCATAAAACGGAGATATAGGTAAGGTTCTTTTTTTTTTTTTAAGATTTTATTTATTTATTCATGAGAGACACAGAGAGAGAGAGAGAGACAGAGGGAGAAGCAGGCTCCCAAGGAGCAGGGATCCCGATGTAGGACTCGATCCCAGGACTCTGGGACCATGACCTGAGCCGAAGGCAGACGCTTAACCATCTGAGCCACCCAGGCGCCCGGTAAGGTTCTTAAATAGGGAGAATAAATAGTATAAAGATACCAGCCCCCAAATTAACTTTTTTTAAAGATTTTATCTATTTATTTGAGAGAGTGAGAGAGTGAGTGAGAGAGAGCACGAGCAGAGTGGAGGGTCGGGGGAGAGAGAGAAGCAGACTTCCCACTGAGCAGGGAGTCTGATGAGGGGCTCAATCCCAGGACCCCGGGGCAGACGCTTAACCGACTAAGCCACCCAGGTGCCCGCAAATTAATTTTTTAAAGCGCAGTGAAGTCTCCCAAGTGGGAATAAATTTACATTTCTGGCAATGTAAATTTGGTGAAGTATTTCAAAAGCCTTCAAATTGTTCTCGGCCTTTATCTCAAGGAAGTTTTCTAGTAGGAAAAAAAAAAACTTTATGGGGCCCCTACGTGGCTCAGTTGGTTAGGCATCTGACTTTGGCACGGGTCATGATCTCAAGGTCCTGGGATCGAGTCCCATATTGGGCTCCACACTCAATGGGGAGTCTGCTTCTCCCTTTCCCTCTACCCTTTTCTCTCTCTGTCTCTCTCTCAAATAAATAAAATCTTTTAAAAAAAAGAAAAGGAAAAAAACCTTATGCATAAGATGCCCAGTCTTCTGCTTTAGATCCTAGATGATAAATTTCACGTCTTCCTCCACGTCCTCCCTTCTTACCCTCAGTTCCTCCAAACAACCTTTACTCACCTGGTTTCTGGACTATTCTAGATTCTGATGTTTTCCCCTAAATGGATCCTATTTTGTCAGTGCATCTCTGAATGTGTCGTTAACCTTGGTTGTTTAGGAAAGAGTAACATAAGTAAAACCAAACTCAGCTGAACTGTTGTTACCACAATTTAGAAATAACCCTATGACACATTGGAAAGTGTTTACCGGTGGTTGGTATAAGATTTGGTAGTGGTTATTTCTTAGAAAGTGTGTACCATGTGGTGGCATTAGGAGTACATGTTACTAGGGTTGATCGGAGTTAATGGTTCTTGAGAAAACATAAATAAAGCAGGTCAACCTATGGCTTCCTGAAGGAAGTGCAGAGGAGAGTAAGTGAAAGAATGGTGGAAAATGTACTTGCTTGACTCAAAAACCAGCCAGCATAATTTCTACCCCCTTTATTAAGAAAAAAAAAATCCACTCTTTTTTTTTTAAGATTTTATTTATTTATTTGACAGAGAGACACAGCGAGAGAGGGAACACAAGCAGGGGGAGTGGGTGAGGGAGAAGCAGGCCCCCCACGGAGCAGGGAACCTGATGCGGGGCTCGATCCCAGGACCCTGGGATCGTGACCTGAGCCGAAGGCAGATGCTTAACGACTGAGCCACCCAGGTGCCCCAAAAAAATCCACTCTTATAAAGCAGTGAACCTTATTTTTCTGTTCACTTTCTGCATCTTAATACAAAAATAATATACATTGTTTTTTAAAAATGCAAAAAACCCTATATATCTACAAAGTGAAAGACTTGCTTTTCCAACTTGTTCCCTTCCTTAGAGTTAACTACTGTTATATTCATTTTTAAAACATCATAAGATTATCCCATGATGTTTAAAAACAAAACTTGGAGTTTTTTTTTTTTATCTCCAGTATTATGTATAGCTTCATTTTTTGCAAAATACATTATTACATTCCTTGCTGCTACTGCTATTTATTCACCCTGACATCGTAATTTCTCTTTAGGTATGATTTACTACAGTTCCCTCAGATGTTATTTTTATGTAAAATTGTCATTTTAACTCTGTATTTATTTGAAAGTATCCAGCTATTACCAGTTATTTTCAGCTATTTCCAAATTAAATTGAATCTTCATTGTTTTATATCAGAATCAGCATGTATATGCAGATGCATGAATGAGAGAGAAGGCAGATTTTTTTTCCTATTAGTATTGAACTGCTGAAGTCTTTGAAGCCCATTCATTATTAGCTAAGTGAGGTGGGATCAGACTAACCATTGGTTCCAAACTCATGGATGTTTGCAGGCCAACAGGTAAGGTAATGGTGGGAGGCAGGCAGATGCAAAATAGCAGGACCTAGAAGGGACAAATGTGGACTGCAGAGCATGTGCCTCAGTAGGAGCAAGCAGCCCCCACTCACAGCCAGGATCCTCATCATGTTGGAATTCAAGCCTACTTTTGCTAAATCTGATGATTTTTCCAAAGGAGCCAAAATTCTGGATTTTTCTGTGAAATCTCCCAATTATCAAATTGGCTCATTTTCTAAAACACTGAAAGATTTAAAAAAAACAAACAAACAAAAAAGGGGCGCCTGGGTGGCTCAGTCATTAAGCGTCTGCCTTCGGCTCAGGTCATGATCCCAGGGTCCTGTGATCGAGCCCCGCATCGAGCTCCCTGCTTGGCGGGAAGCCTGCTTCTCCCTCTCCCACTCCCCCTGCTTGTGTTCCCTCTCTCGCTGTGTCTCTCTCTGTCAAATAAATAAATAAAATCTTAAAAAAAAAAAAAAACCCTCAGGCTGAATGTGGCTCTCAGACTGTCAAATCACAACCTCTTTATGTTAACATACTTAGCAGCAGCAAAGGAAACCTCATTTTCCACGTTTGTTACATGTTTTGGGGGAGATGGCAAAAAAGCTATACCATTAACTCATCAGAGGATAGGTATTATTGAATTTACAACATAAAATTCTACATTAATATTTACCTTGTACATTTTCTATTTTGGGAAATCCACCACACCCCTCTTACACCACACCATAACGGTAAGTCGGTCTATAAAGTAGCATTCCCCATTTGTTGGTCCTCAATCCCCTATATCACACTACAGAGAAAGAGGAATACAAAAGAAGTTTCAACATCTTCATTTCCCAACCTCCAGTGGTTTAAACCAGAAAGTTCTTTTGGAGTGAAAATACTATGTCTTTTCTTCCTCAGAGTTGCTGAGAAATTATAATTAGAGGTTTTCCTGTTGTGTAAAGGAAAGGAATTCTAGTCCTCCTGTGTCTGCAAGACTTCTGTTCTCAATGGATCTGCTTCCCTGTCCCATTTCTCTTTCTGCAGGTGATAGAGGGGAAGCTGGCTCCATTCTTGGGCAAGGTCATTAAATTTGCCACCTCACACGTGTACAGCTGCAGTCTTTGTAGCCAGAAGGGGTTCATCTGTGAAATCTGTAACAATGGAGAGATCCTCTACCCTTTTGAGGATATGTCAACAAGCAGGTACAGAATCTCTTGTCTTACAAAAGTATACCTGAATATGTCACATGCAGTTTTATTTGGTCAGATCTGGCCAACTTTTAGTCATGTACTGTATCTCTGTCTCTACGCTTGTATCAGATTTCCCTTATTCTTGGAGAACATTTTTTACCCTTTGGTTTCCTGTATTTATTCCCAACTTACTTCACTATCTTTATCCAGAATGAGATAACAGAGTTGCAAAGAAACATCACCTATCTCTGCCTTCTTAGGTGACGAAGAGCATTCAGATTCATTTTTAGAATGAAGATCAAGGAGGAAGAATCCTCACAATACTTCAGGGCTAAGTGATAGGCAATGGGAAGTCTCAGTGTGAGAGCAAGGCTAAAACTGGACCGACCGCCAGGCATAAAACTACAAGACCCTGGGGAACAGCTGTCTGGCTCACCACATGCTTTTCTCCACAGATGCTCTGTAGTGTGGTGATGAAAGTTTTAGGATCCAAAGGAGAGAAAAGTGGGAGTTTGTGTGGGATTATTTTTCTAACCAAAGTAATATTTGGGCATCATCACATTCATTGATTGATGGATGATTTTCTTCCCCCACTAACTTGAGAGTGGGGTTTTTACTATTGCTTTTCTTGAATCACAAAATGATACATAATCACTTTTCCTTTCATTCCAAAAGCATCATAGAAATGTATACTGTTTATGTGTCTGTGCACTGGCTTCTTTGGCCATGAAATCATGCCTCATTTCCCACCCAGCAGGGCTTACTTACTCTGTGGTTCAGAACAGAAGGGGAGGCATGTAGCCAGGGAGGTCTGAAGCATGTAGGGTGAAGCTACAATATTAAGAGTTGACTCAGCCCTTCTGGCCTCTTCTTAAACCCAAAGACTCTTTGTAAACATACAGGAACTTGGGTTGGCCCCACACACAGAAAGACACACACACACACACACACACACACTTCCAGCCTCATTACACACACACTTCAGCCTCATTTCCTGAGTACAGGTACTTAACGCATAGCCTAGAGATTATAGACTTCTTAAAAACGTACACCACACAAAAACTTGTACACATATGTTCATAGCAGCATTCATTATAGCCAAAAAGTGGAAACAACATAAATGTCCATCAACTGATGAATGGATAAACAAGATGTGGTATATCCATGAAATGGAATATGATTCAGCCTGAAAAGGAATCTGACTGCCACATGCTGCCAGTGTGGGTGAACCTCAAAAACATTATGCCAAGTGAAAGAAGGCAGACACAGGCCACATATTTTATATTCTGTGTATATGAAATGTCCCAAATAGGCAAATCTATAGAGACCGAAAGTAGATTAGTAGTTGCCTGGGGCATCGGGGAAAGGAAAGTGAGTAACTCCTAATGGGTACAGATTTGTTTTAGGAGTGACAAAATGTTCTGGAATTAGACTGCGGTGATGGTTACAAGGTCTTGTGAATACGTTAAAAATCCGGGAATTGTATACTTTAAAAGAATTTCATGGTATATATATATTATATCACAATTGAAAGTATTTAATAAAAAAATAAAAATTAAATTTAAAAATGCTTCCAATGGTATAAACTATATGCTGGGTCACAAAACAAGTTTCAGGTTTTTTTTTAAAGATTTTATTTATTTATTTGAGAGTAAGAGAGAGAGCGAGCGAGCACAAGCAGGGGGGAGGGGTGGAGGGAGAGGGAGAAGCAGACTCCCCACTAAGCAAGGAACCCAATTCGGGGCTTGATCCCAGGACCCTGGGATCATGATCTGAGCCGAAGGCAGACTCTTAACTGACTGAACCACCCAGGTGCCCCACAAGTTTCAACAAATTTTTAAAATTGAAACCATACCAAGTATATTCTCTGACACATTGAATTAAGATCCCCAATAGAAAAAAATCTGAGAAACCCTCAAATATTTGGAAATTAAACAATACACACTAAAAACTTATGGGTCAAAGAAGAAATAAATTACAAGAAAAATTTAAAATATTTTTAAATGAATGAAAATGAAATATAAAATGTCAAAAGGTATGGAATGCAGCTAACCTAGTACTTAGAGTGAAACTTATAGCTATAAACATACCATGAAAAACATGTCAGAAAAAAAAAAGGTCTGAAATCCATTACCAAAAAAATCCACTGTAAGAAACTAGATAACAAAGAGCAAACTAAGTCCAAAGCAAGCAGAGGAAAGGAAAGAGTAAAGACTAGAGCAGATATCATTGAAATGGAAGACAGAAAAAGAGTACATCAGTGAAACCACAAGTTGGTTCTTTGAAAGAATCAACAAAATTGACAACTCTGGCTAGACTGAACAAGAAATTAAGAGAAAAGACACAACTACTCAAAATCAGGAAGGAAAATGACTTTATTCTAACAAGTTAGACAACTTAGATGAAATGGGTACATTTCTAGAAAGACAAATTACCAAAACAGACTCAAGAAGAAATAGAAATATGAATAGCCCTATAACAAGTAAAAAAACTGAATTAGTCATTTTTAAATCTTCCCATAAAGAAGCCAGATGGCTTCACAGATGAATTTTGTTGAATATTTAAAGAAATAATACCAATCCCTCACACAGGGATAAAGAGGGGCATTACATAATGATAAAGGGGTCAGTTCTCCAAGAAGACACAACAATCCTTAACGTGCACGAGCAGAGTCAAGATACTTGCGGCAAAAAAATTAATAGAACCACGAGGAGAAACAAACCCACAACTATACATATATATCCACTATTAGAGAGACTTCAACACCCCTCTGTCAGTAACTGCCAGATCCAGCAGGCAGAAAATCAGTTTAAGCATATCGTTAAACTGAAAGGCACTATCAGTCAACTGGATCTAATTGACATCTCTGCCAATTCATGTTGTTCATCCAGCAACAACAGGATATGCATTCTTCTCAAGCTCACATGGAACCTTTAACAAGAGAGACCATATTCTGGGCCATAAAATACATCTGAACAAATTTACAAGAATAGAAACCATGCAAAGTATGCTCCCAGACCATAATGAAATTAAACTAGAAATCAGTAACAGAACGATACCTGCAAGGGGCGCCTGGGTGACTCAGTCGTTAAGTGTCTGCCTTTGGCTCAGGTCATGATTCCAGGGTCCTGGGATCGAGTCCCGCATCGGGCTCCCTCCTCCACAGTAAGCCTGCTTCTCCCTCTCCCACTCCCCCTGCTTGTGTTCCCTCTCTCGCTGTATCTCTCTCTGTCAAATAAATAAAAAAAATCTTAAAAAAAAAAAAAAAAGAACGATACCTGCAAAATCCCAACACATTTGGGGATGAAACAATATATTTCTAAATAACACGTGAGTTGATAATTTATGTCCACACAAAACCCTGCACGCAGATGTTTATAGTGGGTCTACTCGTAATCGCCAAAACCTGGGAACAACCAAGATGTCCTTCAGGTGTGGATGGATAAATAAACTGTGGTATATCCATGCAATGGAATATTATCCAGCGATAAAAGAAATAAACTCTCAGGCCACAAAAGGACATGGAGGAAGCTTAAATGCATATTACAGAGTGAAAGAAGCCAGTCTGAAAAGGCTACATACTGTACGAGTCCAACTATATGACAGTCTGAAAGAGGCAAAACTGTAGAGAGAGTAAAAAATAAAATCAGTGATTACCAGGGGCTCAGGAGTACATAAGGAAAAATGAATAGGTAAAGCATAGGAGATTTTTTGGGGCAGTAAAATTATTCTGCCCATTATACATTGGTCAAAACCCTTAGACCTGTACAACACAGAATGAACCTTAATTTAGATTGTGGACTTTAGTTGATAATAATGTATCAGTATTGATTCATTCATTATAACCAATTTACCACACTAATGCAACTTGTCAATAATAGAAAAAACTGGAGGTGAGGGTAGTAATATGGAAACTCTACTATCTGCTCAGTTTTCCTGTCAATCTAAAACTGTCCTAAAAAATAAAGTCTATTAAAAAAAAAACCACAATGCATCCAACTGAACAGTTGCCTCAAATACTAAAGCTGATCAATGTTAATAATCTTCATTAGAATAATTTTAGATTGACAGAAAAATCATAAAGATGGTACAGACAATTCCCATATACCCCTCACCCAGTTTCCCCTATTAACATCTTACATTAATATGATATATTTCTTACAATTCGTGAATCAATGTTGATACATTATTATTAGCTAAAGTCCATAGCTTTTTCAGATTTCCTTAGTTTTTACCTAATTTCTCAGACTTTGTTTTTAGGACATTGACAGTTTTGAGGAGTACTAGTCAAGTATTTTGTAGAATCCCTCTGTGGGGATAGACTTGATGTTTTTCTTACGATTAGACTGGGTTTTACAGGTTTGGGGAGGAAGGCCACAGACATAAAGTGCCATTCTCATCACATCAGACCATGGGTACATACTGTCAACATGACTTACCACTGCAGTGTTTGTGTCAGGTTTCTCCACGGAAGGAACTCTTCTTGCCCCACCTTTTCCATATTATCCTACACTTAAGGAGTGAAGATTATGCTCCACTTCCCTTGGGAGTGTAGTTTATACAAAATTATTTGGAATTCTGCCCTGAGTGACTTGTCTCTTCTTCCCATTTATTTTTTCAAAGTATTTATTTGTATCATCATGGGCATGTGCATATTTATTTTACATTTTGGGTTATAAGCCAAGATTACTTTATTTTGTTGCTCAAACTATTCCAGCTTTGGCCATCCAGCTCTTGCAGCTGGCTCCTGCATCACTTTGATATACTCATATCATTGTGGGGTTTTTGATTTTGATCATTTTCATACTTTCTTGTGCTACTAGATGTTCCAGCCTCATCATATACATTTCTGACCCTAATCCTAGAAATAGCCATTTCTCCAAGAAGCCCAGGTTCCTTTTAGTGAGAATATGAAACCAACATCAGGGCGCTAGGTTGCACACACATTTTTTAATTTTTTAAAAATTTAAAAAATTTTAAATTTTTTAAAGCCCTCAGTCCCAGCACTCATA